GCGCGGGTTAAGGCAGTCTGGTGAAGACTCGGATCTCAATTTTCGCAGAAATTACACGTTATAAGCTGTTTGCTTACAGACCTTTGATATTCAACAATTCAGCAGTTGCTGGAAGAGATTTTTAAGTGTATGGATGCAAAAACCTGAAAGTTTTTACTGGCATAGATGATTTCGGCTGATAGACATGACCTCGGCAACATGACGTATATTCACTTACTTAGTTTCATATCTAGGTGCTCTATTTGTATATTTTGCCTTTTGCCATGTTCAGCGTGAAGCTAGCTAGTAATACCTAGGTATTATACCGTCGTTCGTTCGGACGACATCAGGGATTTGTAATGCTGTACTAAAGACGTAACTAATTGTCTGCAATCACAAGAAGCTGGACGATTGCGTTTTGTTTCGCTTCTTCATCTCTCATAGCTCATTACAATAAGTGGCTCTGTTCTCGACTGGAATCGCCGGTGTTCTGACCCAGTTAGGGCGTCAGTGGCGGGCTTCAGCAGCCGAAAATTACAGCTCTGCTCGGACCAGATCGTGATGGATCGGTCGCTCGGACTGTGCGTGGGACCGCGCGCGGAGGACAGGGGAGTGATCGCGCCCCCGAGTGGAAACTAAATGCGTTGCGTGGGCGAACCAGTAGCCGCCCACTGCTGGACCAGCCGCGGCGCTTTTCTCAGATCGAAGTGATTTGTGCCATTATTGACGGCCTTGAGTGGTGTTTTAGGCCGCGGTAGGCTTTTGTTTGCTTTTTGTATCGATGGACCGGAAAAGATGATTGAAATGAGAAAAAATAACATTAGGTTCAAAACAGTAAGATAAATGATGTCGATAACTTCTATGGTTCACCCCTGCGTAGCTTTTATAGCTCTTACCCTTGCATGCTAACCAATAATGAATGACATTTTTCTGGAGACAACCAGACTGTGCTCTGGTCCTTTTCGAGAGATAAAAGGACAAATCCACGTTCAACCGGCGTATCCTCCCTCACATGTTGTGGTGAGAGGTGGCTGCAGCGTCAACCTCGAGTCCACCGATCATCCCGCTGATACGCCGCGATGCTTATCGAGTGCACACAGATCGGTCGAGCCACGGCCGCCTTCAGTGGGGCTGGCGGATGCTAGTTAAGATAGCAGACGTGGTAATTATCATAAGTGGCTCCCGACAGGTGATTCGATCAAATGGACACGTTGGCGGTCCCTTTCAGGGAAATCTCGCTGCCAGAGTTTATGGAGATGCTCACACATGTCAGTTGTGTGTTTAGAACAGGTTTTTGGAACGTGTGCTTATCGATTTTATTGGAAACCAAACGGTTACTGTCATATTTCGTTGGCATCTTTTGTTATAAGCCACTAACTATGTGGTGGTGCTTTTCAGAAGGGCCGATGGAGGGATTATCCGCCGTCTCAATTATGCCCGGCGAACGGGCGCCGAAAGTTATATGGCCTGAAAAAGAAGTTCCGATAGCGTTTCTCTTTTATTGACGGATAATCCAAATTGACACCCGAATCTGGGTTTATGGGTGAAGCGAGGATCTCTTTCGTCGCGCACCGATTCTCAGCTAATGTACGTTTATAGGTTACTGTATCTTAAGATGGCACACTGCACAGGGGCATGCCCACCATCAACGTGATAATGCTCATAAGCACATTTAATCTGGGCTTGAATAGCATTATTTTGGACGCGCGTGGTTGCCTGGGTCACCGTTTGCGGTACCGTTCTGTATGCAGACGCGCCATTAGCTGCCCAGTCATTTTCGTTCGCATCGGCGCTTTTCTGGGATGGTGCGCCATTCGGGCTGTCTGTCCACTCCTCAAAATTCGAGGCACAATGCCGATAATCGCCGCATAGGCATTGTTAGTAATTGTTCGGGCATGTGCTAAGAGTTTGCTTTGGGTCACAAACAGTGCGGTGTAGCAAGTCAGCGAGGCCACGACCAAGACAAACACATTTTTCTGCTGATCCGCCCGGCACAAACCTTGTAATACATCAGCACTGTGTGCGCTGGACGTTTGGTCGTTGTAATTAGCCGAGATAAACAACATGAGCGGTGTGTCGATACTAACCTTCAGTTGCGGTTCCCAGGCCAAATAACATTCCCGTGAGGCGGAAATCAGCGGCGTTCTGTGTGTGACAGTAATCCGCCTCTGAATGCTAAACGTCCTGATAAGCCAACTCGACGCGCTGACCGGCAGGGGCTGTTTGGGGTGTGGACCGGCGAACCCGGACCTGGGGTCGGTCCCTTCCCTGCAGCCGGCACTGCATGTTTAGCTCAGTGTCCCTGCATATTTAGGCTCGCGCGCCAAGGTCCGAGGTGAAAATGAGGGGAGCCCCCAATGCGCATGAAGGGTGCCGTGTTTTTAGGTTTTGGGCAAAAATATATTTTTTTAATATTTAAACTCTACGATAATTTTTAAAGTGAACGCATAGGAAGTCATTGCTATTGTTAACCCTGGAGGATTTGCCTGGCATCGATGCATCCAGTAGCGGCGGAACACCCTCAATTAAGGGGGGGGGGCACTGTCGACTTTTTGTCGACCCATTCTTTCCATGCAACGCCCATAGGGCTAATGTTAAAATGCCCAAATCAAAGTGGGGCACGGTGCCCCGGTGCCATCCCCGTTCCGCCGCTTACGGATGCATCCATAGGAAGATTATGATGTTTGGCAATCCGGGGCATAAGTCACTGAAGTAATTGATAGGATTGTTGTTTGCCCCGGGGCAGAGGCCAATAAAGTAATCAATTAACTGGTAATTGGAACACCTGGCTGGGGTCAATGGGGGTTAATGGCTGATAAATCAATATATTTTGATACATTCAATAACGGATAGTATAGTGTCTGAAATGTCAAATCAATCTCCCCGAAACACTCCAGCAAATTGAAACAGTGCAATCGAAACAAAAGGTCTTGACTTGGCACAACTAATTAGCCATGACAAATGACCTCCATAACTCTACGAGATAGCCATTAGCATGCGCTTGGATCGCCGTATGTTGCAACACGTGCATTGTCCGTGTGGAGACAATCCGAGGCACGGACGGCCCCCTGCGTGGCACGGTATTGTCTCTCTCGTCAGCCCGGGCACCCCGACAGGGCACGCGCGCTCGCGCAGCTCGGTCCCGGGCGCAGCGCTGCGCACAATGAACGCTCCGCAGCTCTGCGGACAGCGCCGAGCGAACATCTGTCGCGGCTCACCTGCGCTGCTCGGCTGCGGTCGGTCTGTGTGGCCGGACGGAGCGAGCAACTGAACCGTGACATTGGCCAGCTCCCGCGCCGCCCCTAACAATAGGTGCCGCCGCTATCTGGCGAATCTAAACCGCGGTCCGCTGGTGAAAAATGGAGCGGAGATGCCCGGCGTGCGCAGGCGAAAATCGAAATACCAGTGCTGAACGGTCACGATGCTGAGCATGTGGCAGGGCACGAGAAGTTTGTCTTCATGTCTGCATGCATGCAGTACACAGGATTGTCAAACAAGAAAAAATGTTCGACTTCTCTTATCTGGACTCTATCTGGACGGATTCGGAAAGAGAACAAACTCGGAAGCTGCCGAGTGTCAAGCTTGCCCTCTGCGTCCCGTGCCGTCTGAGCACCGTTTAGCGTTGCGGTGCCTCGGCGGGCGGTATGAGCCAGTCACATCTGTTTCGACACAGATGTATTGTTCGCGGGCTCCGAACGTAAACTGTCAACGGGATCGGGCGTCCGAACCGACCGTCCAGTCCGTCCGTGAGTGACTGGCACGGCGCCGCCGGGACTCGTTTGTGGGAATTGTGCCCGCCACAGCGGATACACAAAGACACACGGCCGGAAACGTCGTAAATGAACGTTTTTGGTGTTAATTGCCCGTCGGGTCAGTGGATGAATTGAAAGTGGAGGGCACTCGACAGTAACAGGATCGTCCGTTCAGGCTGTGCCGGGAGAATATTCCCAGCAATTAGGCCGGTGTGGGTACAATAGGCTCGGATGAATTAGATCGTTTTCCGTTCGATACTAGTAGAATTAGCCACATCCTTGTCTCTTTTATTATATCCTTCAGTTCTCTCTTTACCGGTGCTTTCTGAGCCAGTGGCCACGAGAACGGATGATTTCCAATTTGATATATTTCAACAAGAGGTTCAACAAATCCGCATTTCAGTCACACACAGCAATCAACAAGGCTATCATGACGTCTTATGTCATGTTATAATGCCAAATGAAGTGCAAATGGCATACTATTTACGATTAAACGTCCTAACACGACGCCATGACATGTTCATATCCAATTATGCATGCATATCGCACGTCGTCAGCAACTCAGCGATTCAAGTCATCGCCATCTGTTACCGGGGTCATTGGGACGGTCCCTGTGGTGATATGCCATTTGCATTTGTATGCCACATCATGATAAAGGAACGACATACATGACTATACACAGCGGCGTCTGCCCAGCCTCAGGCTGCGAACATTTTAGCGTTTCCTGATTGGTGTGATATGTGTAGAGGATTGGGTCATTTAGCACGTCAGTAATGGTCCATGTCTGAATGCATCTGCAGTCATCTGTTTGTGTCTACTCCGTTCTGAGTCTGTGTTTTGTCTGTTTATGTTTGTTCCGTTCTGAGTCTGTGTTTTGTCTGTGTTTACCCTGTTCTGAGTCTGTGTTTTGTCTGTTTATGTTTGTTCCGTTCTGAGTCTGTGTTTTGTCTGTGTTTACCCTGTTCTGAGTCTGTGTTTTGTCTGTGTTTACCCTGTTCTGAGTCTGTGTTTTGTCTGTGTTTACCCTGTTCTGAGTCTGTGTTTTGTCTGTGTTTACCCTGTTCTGAGTCTGTGTTTTGTCTGTGTTTACTCCGTTCTGAGTCTGTGTTTTGTCTGTTGGCGTTTACTCCGTTCTGAGTCTGTGTTCATGGTCTGTATGTGTTTGTTCCGTTCTGAGTGTGTTTTGTGTGTTTACCCTGCTCTGAGTCTGTATTTTGTCTGTTTGTCCTCCCTCCGTTCTGAGTCTGTGTTTTGTCTGTTTGTCCTCAGGAACCGAGCGGTGAGGCAGTGGCTGCAGGATCTGGGCACGCTCTGCGAGCCAGAGTGCTCCACCACGCTGCAGTCCAAGTCGCTCATCAGTGACGTCACCCGACTGATTCAGCTGATGACTGATGACGTCAGCAGCAGTCTGCGGGCCATCCAGATGGCGGCCAAGGCGGTGTCGCAGGCATTCGCCGTTCTTTGCCGGTGAGTTGCGAGTCGGTTTTAGCGTCCCGTGTATTTATCACTGTTCCGTCGTCGCCGTTCTCTTCTTTTAGTTTTTTTTCGGCAGGCAGAAATTTATAATTTATATCGCATATTTAAATTTATCAATGTTTTTACGGTGCTCTGTCGCCAATCGATGAGTTTTACTGGTCCGTTATCAGTTATCAATGCTCCTTTTCCGTCCGTTTTTCAATCGATGTGCGCTCGTTCAAACGTTCGATTGAGTTGCAATGGAAATCGAACAGAAGCACGACTGAACCACATTTGAATACGTTTGAAAGTCAGCAGCACTCGAGACGGTAGCACGACATGGTGTGTCAAAAGTGGAAATAGCCGCCCGGCTTTAGTTCGCCAGCCTTGTCAATAGATGGCAGTACCACAATTTGGGCAGCGGATCGTGCAATTGGCGTCAAATTTTCGTTATCTGCTAAGGATTGAATGGCGGATCTTTTCATGCAAGAATCAAGTAAATCGGTCCACAACTTTTCTAGCAACAGCCAACAGAGATATGAAATCAAACACTCTGCCAGAGCGGCGGCGCGGCGGCCGGCGGCAGCCGTTACGCGCCGCCTGGGAGACTGGCGGCGCTGAACGGTTCCGAATTGGCACTGCACTAAAACCTGTTAACTGCTTGGAATAGTTATTATAGCAAAATTTTCATTCAAGTGAGGAATAACCAAGGGCAGGAAGTATGTATGCTTGTGTGCGTACTATGTAAGCCAAGAAACTGCATTAGGAGATACTCGCTAATATTAGATCCAGCCAAGTCCAAACGCATTCCAAGTGATGTGTTTCTGATGGGTCAACAATAACCCGGTTTACATAGCATATTTGACGAGGCTCTAGCTCGTTAATGTGGCGATAATTTTGATGCAGTGGTCTTCAAATATTTAGATGGGATCATTTTGTAAATTGTTAAGCACCATAAGCATCTTTTGCAACATCACGGACGGAGATATAAGCTTGCAACAAACCCTATGTAAACGCGTCTAATATTTATCGTTCGAGGGCGGATACAGTTTTAACAATACAAAAAATATTTTTGCACAGCTCTATTCCTTGAATAATTCTCTTCAACGCCTCATTCCTAGTTAAGCGAATTAGCCCACCCTGGTTGAATAATAAAGCAATTTCGCCACAAGGTCGGGGAAAACCGACCGAAAACGGCCGCGCTCAACGTTAATTTGGGCATGCAGACTCTTAAAAACTCGCATTGGGCGGGTAGGGTTTCCCAGGTATTGGCTCCAAAACACCGTATTCGGCTCCCGAATACGTCCAAGTGACCCGCCTCGTTCCTAGTTAAGCTCTAATTAGATCAAGTGACTCATAGGGAGCGAAAAAGCGACAAAAAGCATGAATTTCCCTATGGCGGCAGGCTGCCGGGTTGCCAGACGGCGCACCGGCTATTTCCACTTTTGACACACCATGACCGCTCAGAACCCGAGTCCCGATCACTCGCTGTCACTCTTCAGTCTCGTGCACACGCGTGACATCCCTCTCCGGCGACTGCCCCGGTCCGGTGATCGAACATCGTCCCCACACGACTCCGGTGACCCGTTAACCCGCCTCCCTCGACCCGACCCCACTCGGTCCACGTGCCTTTCCGAGTCGCCCAGCCGGTGACATGTGTGACACTGATGACTGTGTCCAGCACGAACATCCCAGGAACGTCCCACGAATGTCTCGCGGGTGTCTCACGTGAACTCGAGCACCTCTGGCACCGCGCGGTTGCATCACGATGCGTATCAATAACCTGTGGAGATAACGCGTCGCCTCAGAGCGGCGCAGGGAGGCCACACAAAAGAGAGCACGTCTCGACGGCCCTCACGCGCTCAGCAGGACGCCGCAGCGAGACGACGCTTTCGAGCGCCGTGGCCCCGAAATTGGCGGCCGCGCACTGGCTGGCGGCGGTCGGAGAGCACGCCTGCCCCGTGCGTGATCTGACGCCCCCGCCGCAAACACCACCGTAGCCGCAGTGTCCACCGCTGTGACCACTTCTAACGCTTCTGGTGTTACCGCTGCCGCCACCATCACCGCTAGCTCCGCCTTCTTCATAGCCATTGCCATGGATGACTTTAAAACTTCGCCGATGTTTTTTTCGGTGTGAACCTTGCTGCGCGGTTGGTAGGTGTGATTTCAGCGGTTGGAGGGAGCGATGGTTGGCGGCTGCCCAGGTCAGGGGCGGCACTGGACACAGGTTTTTGACTTCGCACCGTTGCGGGAGGAACAACCGCAGCCAATGACTGGGTCACGGATGGCGGCGCGCGGTGGTGGCTCTCAGCTGACCGCAGCGCGGTCGTGTCAAGGTCCCCGGCACATTGCGGTAAAACTGTGGCCCGGGGTACCGCTGAGACCTGACCCGGTGTTGGGATAGGGAGCTCGGCGATCGGGCCGCCGCACCGCCCGGCCTGCCTGACCTGGCGCTGCTGTGGTGTGACCTCTGTCGTCAGTGGCACTGTGCAGGTGGGATGTTGAGGCTTTAGCATAGCATCGAGCACAGGTGGAATATGAGGACCGGGCTGCATGCAGCCACTGCAGTGGCACGAAACTATCACAGATGGCCATGTGGCCGTGCTGAGTGCTCTGTTTTAATTCCAATCGATAGCCTGTGACTTAGAAAGGTCGAAGCAGATTACTCCAAAAAGCGACCCGACATTAATCAATTTTTCTATCCTATCGTTGACCTAAAGATTGTGTGCGTACCTATGAACGGACTGGGCCAAGCTTCTGAGTGCGATTTATAGATCGTTCCGGTTCACCGCCTGCAGTCCCAGGCTGGGCCTGGGCCCCTCCCAGAACCCACGTGTCAGACAAGTTCGTGAGAGCCTGTCGGATATAACCCACTTCATGGTGAGATAATTCACTCCCTCAAGCCTGGGAAGGTCGTCTTTAGCGCCAGGCCGCTCTCGGTTGTAAAACCAGTGTTCTTTGGCACGGATATGGATTTGACGTTTTATAGACGCTGTTTCTCGGGTCCGAGAAATAGGACACCGCTTATGTAGTTCATATGAAACACGATCGCCACTGATCGATTGTGCACGGGAAAGCAGATCCTCCCGACCGGGTCATGCTCTGAAAACCCTCGTGACCAGCCGGACGCACGCGTGTCACTGTATGAAATCGTCATGTTGGTTGAGCCGAACTCTGGGACTAATTGCCTTTTAACTAGGCCTAATGTCTTGACGATCGTGACCTTTGATCAGTGCCACGCATGACGGCTACATGCTAAAATGTGTTCGTTGAACCTTCTCCAAAGCATGAGTGAGTGACACTCATGACGACTCAATCAAGCACACACGCACTTGAAACGGTCAGCTGCTTTACCGCGATCTCGTCATGGTCCGTCGCCCTCAGGCACGATGAGTCTAGTCTAAGATATTTATTACGTCCAGAATGTATCGATTACACCGGATGCCGTTTATTGGACATTTGTAGCAAGTAGATAATTGCGTCCGGTGAGCACAGCGGCCTTGTCGCGGTGAGTTCCTCCGAACAATTTTGCACCGTCGCGACAGCTCGCGTCCTTGGCTGTGTGTAATGGAGGCTACGTCTTACAGTCGTGGGAACGAGGGGTTCCCAGAATTGGCGACATCCGTTCCAACGAAATGCTCCTTTTTGGAGCTGGCCGTTTCGGGCTATATCAAGTCGATGCGTTTGTTGATATTCTATATTTTATTCAAAGTGCACAATTCCTGATAATGAATTAAATATTTTTTATTACAGATATCATTCGATATGCACCTTTCCTGAGCCTGTATGTTGTATGTGTTACAGGCAATGTGTGGAATCAGGCATTCTATAGAATGCCTAGGCATTCTATAGAATGCCTGACCGACCAGGCATTCTATAGAATCCCTAGGTATTCTATAGAATGCCTGACCCGACCCCCACCGGACACGATTTGGTAGCCGAGGTCTGTGACGTCAGCTGGGCGTGAAGTTTTCCCTTCACCATAGGCTTTACACACAAATTGGCCAAAGTTCATGCCAGGATATCTCAGTCTGGAAGTGCAAAAAGGATTAAATGTTGGCGTCATTAGATTCAGTGTTTCATTTTATATCTGTAAACGTCCATTATTAGGCCTCAAAGAAGGTACAAGTACTCGAAATCGAAGTTCAAGAAGATGCTGTCGTGTACATGATCTGGTAGCATCACGTGACCTCTTTAGAGCAGTTTATTAATAATTTCAAAATCTAGTTACACGATTGCTGCTTCAAACAACATAAATAATACATCTTCAACATTTATTACTTCCGTTTAGGTCACAACATTGCAAAAAGCGAAGATCACCACCGTAGTCACGTGACCAAAGGTGTAGCGGGGGTTGGGACAAACGCTTGAAGGGTTTTAATTTTTCTAAATAAATTATATAGTTTTCGTGATGAAATTGAAAGATTGTAATTTTTCATTACATAATACGAATTTTCGTATGTGGGATATTTTATTTGTAGGCGGAATTCTCCACATAAAAAATGATAATGACGTCACGGGGGCTTTACTCAAAACGACTCAAAACATCGGACCTACCTGTTTCTTATAGGTATCTTGGCCTGACCCACCAGGGATTCTATAGAATCCCTAGGCATTCTAAAGAATGCCTGATTTTCAGGCATTCTATAGAATGCCTAGGAAATACACGAATCTTTCCAACATATAAGTGTATGTTGTATAAGATTATGAGCACAGACCGACATGTAACATTATTATTTTTTGCCAGGCTACCTTGCGTTCAGCTATTTATGTTCATTCAGTCAAATTTTCCGGTCAGGTATTCAATCTGACCTTATTAGGTCAAATTGTATCAGGATTTCATTCTGAGAGTACAGAGTATTTATCTTAACGCTAGAAAGACGATGGTGGTAATGTCAATATCGGAAACGCCTTTGGTAAAAAAAAAAAATACACAGAAAAATTGACAAATCGTCCATTTTTGGAGGTGTTTGCCTTCTAAAGAATTGATTTAAGGTCAAACTGGAGAAAACGGCTACGAGCCAAAAATGGACAAAAATTGGGCTGACCTAAAAAATGGCTTAGCTATTTGTTTTAGAAATGGCACCCTTTCGAACATTGCCAAAGAAGAACTGAAGTAAAATTTCATAATTTTGAGTCTTTGACGACCTTTCGAATACCGCATGGCCCAGAAGTCAAGCTGGAAGGAGAGATCGAACAACACCTAATCCGGCTCTTGTTACGGCCGGGCCACCGCCCAGACGTGGAATAATGAACCATTTATTCAGGTTATTCCCTGACATTACGGTGTAGGTTGAACTGTCCATGTATGTATATTGAGAGTCGTTACACGAAGTGCTTATGACGACATAAAATGTGACCTTTGTTGTATTTTTCACCTTCATTTCTAACATCAGAACAAAGCCATCGTCATTCGCAATCACTTTCGATTCAAGCCTACGGTCCACCCTCCCAGCCAACACTCTTCTAATGCAGCTTCGTATCTGTAGCAGCATAATCCTCCGAGGGTAACCGTTTAAGCGACTTGTTGGCCTGTGACTCTCCCGCGTGCCTTGCGCCGTGGCTCTCCCGTGCCAACGGAATTGGATCAGCTGCTGCTTGCGGCGCACCATTTGGTGGTCGGCATAGCCCAATACCTCCCTCGCTTCCTCTCAGCTCATTGCCCTGAAATGGTGTGAGGTGACGACCGGCCTAGGCCAACAATGAAAATTAGGTAAACAAATAGCATAACTGCCACTGACCCCTAATTTTCGAAGTGTGTTTCGGACAATCAAAATACTTAGGCATTCTATAGAATGCCTGGGAGCTTAAGCCAGGCATTCTATAGAATGCCTAAGCGGTCAGGGATTCTATAGAATACCTAGGGATTCTATAGAATGCCTGGTCGGTCAGGCATTCTATAGAATGCCTAGGCATTCTATAGAATGCCTGATTCCACACATTGCCTGTAACATATGCATTGTTCAATGTTCATACGATTTCGCCTACGTTTTTCCCCTCTTCTTATAATGTCGCCCAAAGCTTACAAGGGTCCATCCGCGACCGGTGCCATGTTCGTCGCGGGCCGCCTTTTGGCCGGCGCGAGCCACACGCCCCCGGCACTTAGTTGACGCACGCCTCAGTCGACAAAAACTCGTCAGTCCGGCGGCGTATCGGCTCGATCGCACCTCTCCGTCGGCGCGTACCGTCCCTCCTGTCTAGTCCGTCCGTCCCGTGCCTCTCGATCCTTCCGTCCCAGCTCAGACAGACGTGTCAGACCTTCCGAGGACCACCCACAGCTCTCTCACGGGACCCATACAGGAGAACGGAACCGAAGGGAGCGGACGCGGTCGGCGGCGCGGCGCGGGTCACGATTGCAGCCTACCGGGCTTGTTAGGGACGCCTCTGAATCGGCCCGGGCACACGCCGATGACGCCTAGAAGCAAACATCACGACATCACGAGAATCTCAGAGAATTCGCGTCGGTGCGGTAGCGGAGATGACGGCATTGTAGGCGGATGACGTCTGGTGGGGCGAGGACAGAGGTGTTGGCCGTGACGATGAAGGGAATGGTAGTGGGTAGCGGTATCGGAGACGATGACGACAGAGGCACAGGCGGTGACGGCGGGCTCCCCGAGCCATTGCCGCCCTGTCAGCGGTGCTGGCGCGCCCGACAGTACCGTCGGCAGTGCGCTGCGGGCGGTCTGAATACCGGCTAATTGGCCGCTGTCGGCGCCGGTGTCGACTGTTGACCGACTCCGGTCGGCCCTGTGATGGATGTCGCGACCCCGTGTCCATGAGGTGTCACTGCCGCTCCATGGGACGGCCTTGCGCCACCAGTCAGCTCCCCGCGAAGGCTTTGTGAGCTTCAGTGGCGTGATCGTGACACGGACAGTTTATTTGGGGAAAATGATGCGGGTGTTACCATAAAACGTGCGGTATTTGAACTGCTCAATTATTTCAGCGTTCAATGGTGCCCTCTGGGTGTAAGGATACTTTCTCGGTCAGGAGGAGAATGTTGGAATGTTATGTTGAGCGAGTGGGGAAAATATCGAGCTACGGACACCTGCGGGCTGCGCTGTTGTCCGTTTCTCCTGTGGCGGTTTGGCAGTTGTTCTTGGAAGTAGGGTAAGTGGTATGTTGTGTCGCACTTTTCCTGCAGCCTTAGATTGGCGCTGTCGTGTTCGCAAATACCATAGGTAGGCCCCAGGGATCAAAATCAAGCGAATGCAATAGCAAAAGTCCTTTTTACGTTCGTGAAGTGGACGGTGAAGGACATTTCCACGCCCTATAAATGTGAGTTGGCATATCCGTGAACGCGTTTCGTTAGAATGGGGCGTGATAAATGGTTCTGAATAGCTAAAGGTTCAGCCTTACGCAAACGTATTGCTTATTAGACATATCACGGTCACAGCAACAGTTTATCAAAGAATATCTGAAGCCGGTGTCTGAAATGTGATTCTCGAATCCTCATCTTATCCCGCTTTACGTGCGATGAATAATTACACCGTTCTACCTATACGGCGACATATGGCTCACCATTTTTCACGAGAACAAATGACCGGGTGCCAACAGCGCTGCCCGGTATGGCGCCTTTGAGTGTCCCTGAGTCCCGCACTCTGATGGTCGCTATAGTTCACATGATTAAAAAAGCACCATTAGCCAGACAACTGTCCGACGGTGGTCTCTGGTCGCGGGGCCACTGACCCGTGGACTTCCCACTCCTGCGGGTCGCTCCCGACCGGTGTCTCTGCGGGGGCTGCTCCTACACCTGTCCCGTGCCCCCCGGCACTCGGAACGGCCTTGTTCTCGACACATGGCCCGACAAGTCAGACTGTTAATCAGTAATCAAGGTTGTTAACCTCCTGATTGTGCAGAAAATCGCCGACAGACTAATCGATTTAAGAGGACCAGAATGTCGTGGTTGACGCTACTTTTATCTTATTGTTTGACTTTATTTGTGCGGAGAGTGATAGTGTGCTTGTTGATGCGGTTATCATGATCCATTGGTCACGCTTAGGGTGATATAATTGATACCTGTCTGTGTCATCGCCTGTCGACCGCGCTGGTCCGTTAATTTTGCCAGAGCCGCTAATGGTCACCCCATGCCGCCCGTCTCTGTGTTCCAGCCGCCTGGAGACGCTGCCTGCGGCCGAGCTGCGGGCGGAGGTGGAGCGCCTGCTGGGACTGGTGGACCGTCTGAGCTGCGTGTACCGGCCGCCGGCGGCCGCGCTGCGCTGCCGACAGCTGCGGCCGCTGCTGGCCGCCGATCTGGAGCCGACGCGCGCCGCCGTGGCCGCCGCCGGCCGCCGGCTCCTGACCGCCGCCGAGCCGCCGCAGCTGGTGGCTGCGGTCACCCAGCTGGGCGGCGCCATCACCCAGCTGGTGGACCAGCTGCTGCTGCAGCAGCTCCGCCTGCTCACCGAGGCGCTGCGGCCGCCCCATGTCCTCAGCTGCGCGCGCGCCGCGCTGGCCGCGGCCACGGCGGCCGGCGCACAGGGCTGCCACCTGAGCGGCCTGTTCTGCCGGCTGGGCGGCGTCCGTCAGCTGGTTGGCATGGCGACCGACGGACGGTTCGCGCCGCTGCAGCTGCACGTGCTGCGCGCCCTCTCTGCGGTCTGCTGCGCCGTGCCCTGTGTCCGCGCCATGGAGGAGGTATGCCACTACCGGGTCTGTCCGGACGGGACGCCGGGCGCGGCGGTATGTCGGACTCCCCATCTCCGTCCAGCGCCAGTTAATGGCCCACCACCTGCCTTGTCAGCTCCCATTATCTTCCGTCTTGGAATCAGGATTTGGCCGTTCTGTGAGACGCGACTATGTTATGTACGAATCTTTCCAGCTGGTTGAGCATCAAACATTTCCTTTAACAACAGGCTGCGAGCTAACGTCTTCGACATGATTGTTGTCATGCATCTAGTCCAAATACCGTATAACCTCTTGTGTTGCGGAGTTGAAGCGTTCATAGTTTTGCGCCCCTCAGATCTGACCGGACCACCCGGCTGATGGCTGATGATACTGGTGACTTATTACTGACGACTTTAATGTGTTCTCCGCCCGCAGGAGGGCGGCGTTGACCTGGTGTGTGAACTGCTCTGCGACCTCTCCATCCCGGGCGGGGTGCGGCACGAGGCGGCGGCCGTTCTCGCCCAGATGACGGCGCCCTGGCTGACACCCAACCACTCTGTGCACGGCCTGGCACGCCACCTGGCTGGGGTAGTACAGGCGCTCACAGGTTCGTACCGTACTGTGCCGTCTCGTACTGTACCGTATTGTATTGTATTGTATTGTATTGTATTGTATTGTATTGTATTGTATTACCTTCATGGACAATCCACACGGGGCGTGGCGATTACAGTCCACCGTACTGCTCGTATCGTACCCTACCGTACTGTACAGTACCTTCCCATATTGTAACCAACTGTACCGTACCGTACATTACCGTACCGTCTGGTCACGTCACCTTCTTGACGAGTTTGAGGCAGTTCAAGACTCGAGTAACGGCCCCTGTCACATTGTTCGCTCTCGCCCGGAGATAGATATGTGCACGGAGACTGACGTGGAAGCAGTTTGAAACAGGTGATATTCGTGAGCGGCCACAGCGTGGCTAGGACGACGGAATGGCGTGCATGTCTTTGTTTTACGCAGGTGAACGACCGAACTGAAATTCAGATTCGGTGTAATGTATTCACAGAGAGCTGAGGCAATATGAGTGACGTTGAGTCGTGCGTGGGTTAGCTTCTCGTCTTACGGTTACCGCTCGTGACCTTTCGGCTAGCTCAGTGACCCGTGATGAGTGGCTAAGGTCAGGCGCGTGGTGTTACGACCAACAGGAGCTGTATCTCACCCTCACCGTGCGTCTAAAACGGCGCGCCTGACTACATCACCTCATCTCAGGAGTCACGTCAGAGCGCGTGAACCCCGCTGCTTTTTACAAATGGAACGTGACCGCGGTTACAGCGTTATCCGGAGATCGGGCGGCCGGCGCGGTGAAAAGCACACCCGTTTTTACGGCTTCCCGTGCCATTTGACATACACTGACGACGTCGAGGGAGTGAAGGGCGGTGTCTGAATATCTGCTTCCCTGATTACCTCGAGTCTTTGATAGGGAGTCCGATATTCAGGAGTTTTATAACTCACAAGTATTTTTGTGTCTTGCGTGGCGGTGACGCCCGTCGAGGTATTCGGGGTCGCACGTGCTGGGCTGATGTTGTGCTGCTCGTTTTTATTGATGAGTTGCAACGTAGGATGGTCTGATTTTCCTCTTGATGTCTTGCTTACAAATGTCATCGGCTGCAAATGTGTCGTGAGACGTTTTAACTATGCTGCACAATTTTATTTGCATTTTACCGGTGCGTTCGTAATAAATTTACGTTGCACAGCGATTCCAGTGTACTATGTTTTCGGAGATGTTTCACAATCGTGTAGTTTCTATTTTTCATAACTGTCTCGGACCCTTTGCTCGCTTTGTTTTCGTTGATGGTCGTTACCTGCATCTCTAATTAAAATCGTGCCTTTGCATTCCCGACTGTTCCCTCTGACCCCAGCTTAACCTCCTACCCTGTCTTCTTCCCGGCAGACCTGGCGGAGGAGGCCGCCGATGACGAGGTGTTGCTCCTGTCAGCGGCCGCTCTGCTCCCTGTTTAACCCCTCCCCTGTATTATATCCACAGACCTGGCGGAGGACGCTGCCGATGACGAGGTGCTGCTCCTCTCGGCCGCCGCTCTGGCCAACCTGACGTTTATCGAGCGGCAGGTGTTCCCGCAGCTCACGGCGCGCTGCACGGCTCAGAAGCTGATCACCGCCGCCGACAGATTCCCCGATAACGTCTTCATTTTGGATCAGGTGAGTGGGACTGGACTTGGCTAGGTGGGATGAATTGATGGTGACAACCTGCGAGTTTAGGAAGGCTTACATGATCCAGCCGTCCAGTGGCGAGGGATTCTATGAATGTTTGTCTAACCGTATGACTGACTGCTGTAAAGCTGGAACAATTTTGTAATTTGTTAACCCGCGCCCGGCTTGGGGTCCTGGATTTTCACGCCCTGCCAGGGCACGGATTAAGATGGACACCATGAATGGGCGTAGAGATTCCTACAGTCGCAGTGGATTAGCTCTGTCTATTCGGACGGTCTATCTGGTGGTTTGCCCGTTCAGTGACCGTCGCCAATGCGGCTGTCACTGTCAGTGATGTGCCGACTGAGACTGACCGGTCGTCGGTCAAATAACGGTCAACGACGCCTAAGGTGTCCTATGAAGGGGGATCACAGTCAATCTAGCCAGGGAATCCGCGAGCCGGACCTTCTGGGTTATTGTGAGGCGCTCGTTCCGTCTTTTTCACGAGCGAACCTCACTGGAGCGATCGGGTTCGACGGTTTACGATATCTCGTGCCATCAAACACGCGACTCTGACGGCTAGCCGGTCTTGTTGCGGCAAAAATAACAGCTACAATTTACAACTCAGTTGGCGGCAGTTTTGCGTGTCATAATGACGACCGTAAAAGTTGTCCCGTCGCTTATTGTCATGATTTACGAACAACGCGGTACAAGAAGAAAACATCGAGGTGATTTCGGAATTATTAAGTGCATCAGGAACTTTTAGTGATCCCGAAGTCGTTACGCTATCTCTAACATCTTTTTTCAATGTAACCTAATCCTACCAATCGTACATGCATCAGGCAGCACGCGTTGCATGCTCATATGGTCGCTCGTTTTACCTCATTTTTGACTCACTCACTACCATCCATCACCCGTTGACACTCGTCTTTCCCCATACCCCAGGTGTCCACGGTGCTAGCCAACGCAGCCAGCGTCGGGGACTCCTGCCTGGGCCGGCTGGCGGTTCCGGCGCTGATCCGGTACCTGCACGTGGCGCCCACTGCGCGGTGGGCGGACGGCGCCCGCGCCGCCTGCCGCCGCCTCCAGCAGAAGACAGCCGTGGCTTTGACGCGGTTCTGCGTGGACCGGCGCACGGCCTGCCACCTGGTGTCGAGCGGCGGAACTGCGCGGCTGGAACTGCTCTGCCGCCAGCCGGAGCTGCGGGGACGGGATGACGGTGTGCTGGTGGCCTGTCTGGTGAGTGGATGGACTCTTCGGTCAGGAATGCCAAGGTGGAATGCGAAGCTAGGGTAAGCTAGGCTGCTAAGGTGGAACGGTAGAAAACGACAACAAAAGAAAAGCGACTGCAATGTAACGAACTTTTACAGGTAGGCCATCGTTCAGGCTTTTGATGCCTTTCACAGTCTTCGAATGCCAGACCCAATATCAGTTCTTCTTTTAGTTGCTCGAGGACCGAGTTGCCGTACTGCAGTCCAGGAATGTATATGCCACCTGTAGTTATCGATAACTTTCATCGAAATCGAATGTGCTATTGTTTGTAGCCAGACACAGTATCGAAGGACAGGAACGGTGGGGGAAAACTCCGACCAAATGTGACCAAACCGTTACTGATACACGATTGGCAACAACCATCTCACAGTCACGAATATCGTTTATGTGTAACTAGTGTACCATACCACTTAACCCTCGCCCGTATAGGGGGGGGGGGTCGAACGGACCCCCCCCCCCCATGGTTTTTCGCGAATAACTCGCGTAAAAAGCGGCCGATCGCGACGAAACTTTCAGTACCCTCGCGTTAATCAATTTTACATCTACTCTGAAAATTTCATGACCCTGACCCCAATGACCTTTGACCTGTGACCTACTTTTCGAGACCATGTTTGGCCGGAATCGCGATTCGGCGTATGTCGGCTCGCATTAGCCGCGCGTTTGCAGTCTTTTCGTGGTTTCAAGCGTTCAAACATGTGATATGATGTTGCCCCCATGCGTTAGAGTGGGTGTCAAGGGCACCTGAAGGTCAAGTCAGGTCATTGACCTTTGATGACCTCGGTACACTTTTTCGAGTTTTACATGTTTCTAGGTCAGTTTTTGCAGCTGAATTCGAATTTAGGAACCATTTGAACATTTACGAAGTAGTTTTGGTGCCTTCGTAACATGTTACGAAGCTATCAGAGGCGGTTGACACCTACTAGGAATACCCGGCAGGACCCCTACTGGTTGACCTGACCTGACCTGACCCGACCCGGACTAAATGCATGAAGACATCATCTGTGATCAAAACTAACATGATATTCGTGATCAGCACCCCGAAAAACCCCGTAGCAGCCACACTTTACGACGTTCTAACAGGTCCCGATTTTCCCGACTTTTGGGTCATTGACCTGACCTGCAAGGTCAACCAATGACCTAGGACCTTAAAATTAGGTATCATCGGCTTCCTCTCGTCACGGGATACACGCTCGTTTTTTCCGCGAAGCTCTAGCTCGATCAGGGGCGAAACGGCAAGGGGGGGTCCAACGGACCCCCCCCCCCCCCCCCCCCCTTATACGTTCTCGGCTGGAAAAACACCAATACGGGCGAGGGTTAAACAAATGTCGATCAACAAAGCTCACTACCCATCGCGATCTCTCGCCCAACAGCACCGTGACTCCTGTCCTCTGACCCTCAGACGGCGCTGAGGCGGATCCTGAGCTTCTGCCCGGAGCAGACGCAGCAGCAGACGGGCGAGCTGGTGCAGCCCAAACTGATGGACGTCTTCCTACAGCTGTCCTCCGGAGAGAGCGAGTACGTGCGCGGCGGTCGGGCCGTGTGGGATGTCTGATCTAAATAGCTTGAGGGTCGTAGACTATATATTCCGTGGTGCTACGTTTATCGGGTACCTACCAGAATTTGCAGTTCAAATATGTTCCGTTTACTGTTTTAACAGTTTTTTTTTTTTTTTTTACGAATGCGGCTGTGTTCTCATAACAATGAAGCCCAAGAGTGCCTAAGAACATTCGCAATAATGGGCATATCGCTGCCTTTCTTGCCCATCAGATACATCTTTATCGGGCCTTCTTCCCTCTCCATTCACCGCTCACACTGACTGTCTCGATTTCAGCGACGAGCGACGGAGGTGACTGAAGCTGTTAGTCATCACGGGACAATACGAACACCTTCTTCACGCAGTCATTGATGACGTCGCCTCACCACCGATGACGCGTGTCCGGCATCAGAAGCCAATTGACGTCATCGCCAACCACTTGTCATTGTGATCTGAATGTGTGTGATTTTACCTTGAACGCAAATATATGGAACATGACGTAGTCTTTCTGTGAGCCATGCGCAAACGACGTGTCGTATCTTTGCAAGCCGTTTATAACAAAGGCACAATTGGTTCACAGTAGACATCGGGCACCATGAAGGCGCTAACACGGGCGGCGGGCACACCGGAAAACGCCTAGTCACACTCGGAACATGCTTCTTCCGCTGCGGCCGGCCTCTCCATTCTTTGGTGGGCCAGCGGGGCCGCCAGAAGCATCACCTCAAAGACAAACTACTACTCTATACGGACAGGTGTAGGTCCCAAGCGGACAGACATTTGTTCACATGCGAAGAGGGACACATTTCTTGCACTGCTCACGACTTGCTGCGTCGATCGCTAAGCGTTCTACACGGCAGAGCAAGCAAGACTACCTATCAAAGATCTTCATGGGAGAGAGGGACGAAGAATCACGTGGGCGAATGTCCGGGTCGTGGTCGGGTGGTGACTCAGACTCGCTACGATCCGCACATGAGGCAGTCGTCCTTGTTCTGGAGGGAGCAGACCATGGCAGCCATGTTGTATGCCTCTTCCTCGGTCTTCTCCGGGGACTCAGTCTGAAATAGAAGACAGGCGAGTTTGTTAGCGGTAAGCGGGAGATGACCTGCTGTACTCTGTAGCAGACGTAGTTGACTTGTTACTCGGTTAAGATCAGGAAATCTGCTGTGCCGCCAAACTAAAAAATTATCTGCAGCCGTAGCTAAACAGGTTCCGCTGCCTGCTCTGAAGTATTCTCACTTTAAACCACCCAACGGCCAGCAATAGTTGTTCGCCTGTTCTAACACGCATTGGTGAACGAAGTTAAGTGCAGTTTCCATGAAAAACCCAATATTCAATAAATATAAAAAATACACCCGGACCAGAAAAGCTCTCCTACCTTTTCCTCCTTTTCGTCCTGCGGTTGGGGCGCGGCCGTGCTCTTTGCCAGCCGGGTCTTGTCGACGGTGAACTGGATGGCCGACGCGGCCGCCTTCGTCCTCAGGTAGTACATGCCCGTCTTCAAACCCAGCTTCCACGCGTAGAAGTGCATGGAGGTCAGCTTGCCGAAGTTGGGACTCGCGATGTGCACGTTCAGGCTCTGCGATTGGTCGATGAAGGCGCCGCGGTCGGCAGCCATCTTCAGGACCACCTTCTGCGATACCTCCCACACCGTCTTGTACAGGTCCTTCAGGTCCTGAGGGATGCCCTCGATGCCCTGTCGAGGAAAACACGACGGTTATGGCATGACAGGGGACCCGTATCGTGAATCACCGATGCTGGGTGTTATATCAGTAGTCAGTATCCTTTTACTAAAGATGGCACTGTAGTCAAAGTCCCTTCAAACAAAGATTATTATGTCAAGTCAGGCCGGCATTACTTTCACGCAAAAAAAAAAATAGGAACGTCTGTTCAATGAAGTGTCAAAAATTAGCACAAGATTAAAATGAGGTTTTCCTTTTCACGATATTTCAAGCGCTCTCAACTCAATGGTACACTCCAGTGGCAGTGTCCTGAAATTGATTTTTCGGAGAGTGTGATTGAAGCCGCAAGGACGTCACTATTTCAAAAGGACGTCGATATCGGTGCGGAGCCTAAGCCACTGAAAATCCCTTACCTAAATCTCTTAAAATTAGCGATTTTCACTGGCAATGTTGACTAATAGCACCTCAAGGCATCTCAAATGATCATATATATGTAGACACAAAGTAATGCCAGTTTACCCCTAGTACAATACAAAATTAAATCATTCACCACAAACACCAAAACAACACTTTGAAGATGTCTAGTTCTTGTCCATGATCGTACACAACAGTCAACAACAAATATGCTTCAACAAAAATCAACCCAAGAGCCAGCGGCTATCACTAAATATTGCCGTCATAAGAGGGACATTATATCGAGCAAGAGGACTGACGTAAAAAACAGACGTCCAAACAAAGAGGTGGAAAACAGTTCGGAAAATTAATTTCCATAGCTTCCTGTTATGAAATTCAATTAAGAAAACTCCAAGGTGGACGCTGAATTTTTCTTGGCTGGAAAAAAATGTGAAATCATTGTGCACTTTTCAGTTTTGTACCGACGTCGATTAAATGGGAATGACAGATCAATCGACGTCCCCAACATTGCGTGTATTTTTTAAGCCAAGGACGACATACTTGAATTAATACTGTTGAAATTCGGTAACTTTATTTTAATTCAAACAAATAAACACTAAACTTTTCCCCCAACCACTATCAACATATGCAAAATTAACTACTTTTGAAGGACATGTTCCAGGGGCAGCGCTACCCCGTTACTGTGACCTTCTGAGGGGAAAAATAATTAAATATGTTACAGTAGTTTGATACAAAAGGTATGTTGCGTGCTTATAGATAAATGTCGAAGTAATATATTCGCATGATAAATTTTTATCTATACACTCCACAGTTACTAAAACTGAAAAGTGGAAAACGATGTCCTCAGATCCCTCTATTCCGACATCTTTTCTCCTTCATATGGCAGCTATTACCTTCATATGGTAAAAGAAAAACCTATCCATATCTGACGCACAGAAAACGAACATAAAACCGCGTTGTTTACTGTTGCGGCAGTTGGCCAGCGGTGTAGGAAAGGGGAGTTGAGTGTAAGTGGGTTTGTGAGGACTTAGGATATATTTGTTGTCATTTTGCATAGCCGTGTTTTTAGGCTACAGAGGTGATATTTCTTTTTGTTAGTTTGCTTTTGGTGTTCGATATACCTGCCGACTTTTATCCCGATCCGTAAAAAAATGTCAGGGACGTCGTTTGGCTTTCCGGGACGTCACAAAGAGAATCTGTTAAGGTGTGGGTTTCCACCCAAATTCACGAAAATCAGGACACTGCCAGTGGCGACTGGCAAGATTAGTCACCGGTAGTCGTCTTACCTGGATGGATCCGCCGGATGAGATCATCTGGTTCTTCATGTCCTCGTCCCAGAGGTTCATCTCAGTCAGGTCCCGCATCAGGTGGTGGTTCACGATCTGAGGGATAGACGGTGTGGTGGAATTATTGCATGGAAATAACAGCCAGTTGGACCCGTGAATGCTGTGGTAAGACCGACAACGTTGTGATTCAGTCGAATGTATGAGCATTGAGCATAACAGTCATTACATATTACCCACGAAAAATGCATTTACTGCACAGTGCACACTAAACCCTGATTGATATTCCCTATCCAACAAGTCCGACTAAGCCCCTCACTGCATAGCGGACTTCAGCGTCACCTACCTGGAACTCTCCGGAGAGCACGCGGCGCGTGTAGATGTTGCTCGTGTACGCCTCGATCGACTCGTTGTTGCCGAGTATCTGCGCCGTGGAGGCGGTCGGCATGGGGGCCAGCAGCAGCGAGTTGCGCACACCGTGCTGGGCGATGCGCGCCTTCAGCGCCGACCAGTCCCAGAGCGAGGAGGGCGTCACGCCCCACATGTCGTACTGAAGGATCTGCGCACAGGAGAGAAACGCAGAGTTAGTGATGAAAGGGCGACGGCGGCACCAAACAATGATGGGGAGTATGGAGGATAAACACATGCCACAATGCATTGCCATATGTAATCTCCATATCACAATATTATTTGCTTTGGTTCACACAGATGAGCCTTTACGCTAAATGCAATACCTAACATTTCCCGTCAACACAGTGTCACTCCAGATATTGTGGTAAGTGGTCAATGAACAGATGTGAAGACTTACTCAAAATATCAATGAACTTCTAAGTGACCAGCATCCACGTCCCACTCTACAACAGACAGAATGTGCCCGTCCCCACTCACGCCGCGGCTAACGGGCGATCCGGCGTACGTCTCGTAGGGGCCGAGTTTCTCCGCCAGCTCGCAGGAGGCCTCCAGCGCGCCGTAGTAGATGGTCTCGAAGATCTGCTGGTTGAGCAGCTCGGCCTTCTCAGAGTCGAACGGGTAGCGCATCAGGATGAAGGCATCGGCCAGGCCCTGCACGCCGATACCGATCGGCCGGTGCCGCATGTTCGACTTGCGGGCCTGAAGAAAGAGCGGGAGTGAGTGATGTCATCCATTGTCATTGATAATAGGTGACATACGCCAGGTACGAGCTCTTGAGCATCGAACATTGGTATGGATGTCAAAGAGAGAAAACACAAGTCTGAGCTCAAAATAGATACATCATTTGATTTCCGAATTCCGTGGCTCGCAAAGCACGATAACGAAAGTCCGTTGAGCAACATTGCTATGCAATTCTGGTAGATAATCCTCACAAAAAGTACATGCTTCTCCAGCCCTAGACACGTCAATTTTCGATACATCAATTCGAATCCTTACTTGATATCCACCATTTCTCAGACGACCCAAAGAGATGAAGTTCCCGATTAGAATACCCACCTCTGGGACGGGGTAGTAGTTGACGTCAATGATCTTGTTGAGATTGCGCGTCACCACCTTGGTCACCTCCTTCAGCTTCTCGAAGTTGTACGTCTTGTCGTCCGTGACGAACCGGTTCAGCGCGATCGAGGCCAGGTTGCACACCGCCACCTACCGGGGATAGCGTAAATTAGATCCAATCGCCGCCTGGTGGCACGAGTATGAACTAACGAGCCAGTTGGCGGCAACGTGAGGTCGCGCTCAGTGCCCTCTGTGAGTCATCTTTTGCCACGTAATCAGCGGAAATGCAGAATGGCACATCTGCTAGACAGCTGCATGTGGCCCAGACGAGCTCTTTATTAAAAACAACTGTCGTCGAAAGCTGGCCATGTGCGGCAGCTACACGCCAAAAACGGCGCTGCTGCTGCTGATGGGTTTGCTACTTTGCAGTGCGAAGATATGTTACCAACAGCTAGTTGGTCTGTTGGTAACCATCGATGCTGTGTGTAAATAAAAGCACAAGCACAGCCATTATGCCAGGAAAATCAGAGCAAGCATAGTGTTAGTGCATACCTCATCGGGTGCCGAGTACTCGACGATTTCGGTGCAGAGGTTGCTGCACTTGATGGTGCCCAGGTTCTGCTGGTTGGACTTGCTGTTGCAGGCGTCCTTGTAGAGCA